TAAATTTGATTCAAAAGCTATATATATATATTGTTCTATTTATTAATGGATTTTATTTTATTTATAAAAGTTGTTTTTCATGCTTAATCTAATAGAACGAACCGTTTGCTATCGATTGGCCAGAATTGTCGTTCGGCATTCCTAAATATTTCTACGCCCGACGTGATTTAACTTGAGCGTTTACTTGAGTCCGCGAAACTAAATCACACAGGATTCGCTTATCGCCTAAAGTACGTTTTATATAAGAAAAATTCCGAGAAACTCGTTTCGGAAATTTTTCTTATGCCTAAATCACGGTGCTAAACAAGCTCGTAACACCAAAGGTGTTACAGCCAGTGAGAAATGGCAATGAAACAAAAGATATTTGTCCCTTTCATACTGGCATTGCTACTCCAATCCATAATCCATGGTGCATGCAAGGAGCACAAGTAGCAACAAGCCAACAACAATGTGGACCATAGGTATTCTCAAGTTCAAAATTCAAATCAAATAGATATTCAAAACTGCTCGTCGCAGTACTAGGACGAGTACCACTTACAGTGGCGCGGAGCAAAGGGGAGGAAGCTAGGGTGAAGAAGAAAAAAAAAACTAGAACGTCGGCACGGCAGCATATGGACGTGTGCAACAAGAAGAAAACAGACAAAGCTTTCCCGTTCGCCACTACTACCGGCACTCTGTCCTGTATGGCGTTGCCCTGTTGTCTGCATCTCCAGTCGCAAATTCCGTCATTCTGTGACCCCGTGTTCCGAGACGAACAGAGGAGTATGAAATTACATCAAGTACTGCTACGTGTGGTAATGGTATGGTAGCTTTGAAAACCCAAACCCTCAGCTAGGTAGTCATCAGCTCATGGCACGGCACTGTGCAGTTATCACGTAGTATCAGTGACACTGTGACACTGCTGGTACCGAGAAGACACAGAACTAATGCCGACCTGAGTGCCTACCTGATCAGACCCTCTGCCGTTTCTGCTGTTGGTCTCTGCCTTGTTGCAATGCGAAACAACATTTTTTCCTTGTACACGTGTTCTCTAAGACTCGGGCACTCAGCTGTGTTAGTACTTGTTTTTAACAGTTCACCGTCACCCCCAAGCTTCGGCATCTTGCTTCCAGTTTCAAACTCTGAAGGGGATGACATTATGTGATCCAGAAAACGTAGGGACAGATTTTCAGCACTTGTTCTCAAAATTAAGGCTCTAAATGGTTGGGAATTTGGGATAAAGTCCCGAAATGACTTGTCCCTGGATTTGTTTAACTTTCGCGAACACTAGCGACCATGCATGACATGAGATTAAAAGCCAGAAATGATCAGCATCTCCATTATAGTCCCTTTGTTCGAAACAATAGTAAAAAAACTTGCTGTTAGGACAAAATTTTACTAGACCTTAATTAAATAAAAATCATAAACATCAATAAATATTACTCCCTACGTTTCAAATTATAAGATGTTTTGACTTTTCTAAATACATAACTTTAGTTATACACTTAGATATGCATTATGTTTTGATACATCGTAAAAAACAATGTAACTAGAAAAATCAAAACGTCTTATAATTTGAAAGGACATGAGTACATCTTTATCAAGAAAAGTCAATAACTATTACATTATTTACTTTTTAAAACTTGTAAATTCTATGCGTACATTTGTAATACTTGCAAAATATTTTAAAGTTCAAGGATAAAAAAATATACTCTTAAAAATATAGTGGTGCCGTTTGGCTGGCTGGTTTTCAGACCGGCCAGCTGGTTTCTCCTCATAGCGACACTATTCATCAACCAGCCGCTACAGTATTTCTCTTTCACATAACCAGTCGCTATAGTGTTTTGTCTTCTTTTTTTCAGACAAGCGAACGGGGCCAGTATTTCCTCTGTTTTAAATTATAAGATGCTTTAATTTTTCTAGATACATTATGTTTATTATGTAACTAGACGTAGTGTATATCTAAGTGCATAACAAAAATTAGAGTCTGTTTGGATACCTCAACTAAAGTTTAGTCACCTAAAGTTTAGTCTATACGTATCCAAACATGTGAACTAAAAGTGGGCTAAACTTAGTTTCTACTCCAACTTGCCATTAGTCCATTAGTTGACAAATGTGGACTAAAGTGGACTAAAGGTGTTGATGAGTCTATATGTAGTTTTTTTTAGTTCACTTTTAGTTCATGTATCCAAAGTCCAAACACCACTTGACTAAAAGTTATCTACATAAACTTTAGCTCAACTGAATTTTAGTCCATCTAAACGTTAGTTTTAGATCATTCAGGCCATTATATATATCTAGAAAAGTGAAATCGTTTTATAATTTAGGATGGAGAGAAAAATGAAATAATAGGTGCCAAATACCGTACTCGAAGCAGTGTAGGTGCAATCATGCAGATCAGTTCTTATAGTGTTGCACGTGCCATGGAACCTGTACTCCCTCCGTCATAAAAAAATAGACAGCCAGTTTGTTTGGCTGTGACTTGTCGTAAACGATCGTAAATTTTCAGTCAGAATAGTATTTTTTTCTCACACAAACCAGCCAACAGTACTTCTTCACGAACCAGCAACGAAGCGAACCAGCACACTGAACAGGCTGAGAGTCACCGTGGAAATCGTGCTGGTCAAACTTTCTCAACTTTGACTAGATTTGTAAAAAATACATGCAACATTTATATCTCTAAATAAGTTTATTATGTACCATAAATATTAATATTTTATTAAATATATTTGATCAAAGTTAAAAATTATTGATTTTTTGGAAGACACCCGCCCTGTTCGTTTGGGCTTGTTTGGCTTATAAACCGTATTTTTTCAGTCAACGAACAATATTTTTCTCTCACAACAAATTAACCAACAGTACTTTTAGGCATGACTTATCAGCCAAAGCCCAAACGAACAGGTGACCCTTTTTCGCGACACAAGGGCGTGCTGCTGACTGCTGAGCATGGCAACTATATATCCGCAGCTAATTGCACGCACTAGGTACGGGGGCAATCATATGATACCACGGGTTCACAGTGCAACGAAACAGTGCATGTCGAAAAAGGGTAGATTAAAGTGGGATCGGACCAAATAGTATAGACAGTGGTCCGATTCTGAATATGCATGGCGCCCACTAAGGCTGCATGCTCGCCTAACCTTGCTGCCTTGCCTCCCTTGAGGAGTTAACCTGCATGAGATGAGTGAAATTCGTGTGTATTTGGTAGCGTTTCAGTTCTTATAGAAATGTTTAGGATTTAGATTCTCTTTAGAGACGCTTCTCTGATGAATCAAAAATCATTTCGTGAAACCGTTTAGCTAGTTTGTTGAATTCTTAAAACTAGAATGAGAAGAAATCAGATTTTAATTTTATCGAGGATGTGAAACGTGTCTCAACAAACACATCCGGCTCCGTAGAAATACAAGGATCAGTTAAGGTAGGTAGGTAACTTAACTGTCTGGATACAATACAAACTGAAGATGGGAACAGCGAAGACCAAGACAAGGAGATGCAATCCGCAAGCTGTGGCAAAACATGTCCCTCCAGTTTGGAAGTTCTTATAACTCTTTTGCTCGCAGAACTGTACATTCACTTCAGTGACACAAGATAAAAGAGCTGCTGCACGTATCCAGCAGCATCTATTCCTTATCAGACGAGCGTGGTGTTGCATTGTCCACATCTATCTTCCTCCACTGCACTACTGCAGCATTGATACGGAGTAAGTTACAGAGCCTGAATACATGCATATATGTGGAACGGAACAGATGTCAATCTGATCAGAATATGGTCCAGCCGCCGTCCAAGCAATATATAATAATAATGGCGCCAAACCTGCATAATAATGCATTTCCAAGATCCTGATGCTTTGCCGTGTAGGCTGGTGGACCCGGGGCCCGGACTCAGGTACGCACACTTTCGCTGTGCGCTCACATGCTACTCCATGAGCATCATGGCAACAAGACGACGGCTGAGCAAGACAACAAGGAAGAACTGCAGTAGCAACGCTGGCTGCCACTGCTTGCCTGCAACTACAACTCACCCACCGGCCGGCGAGACGTACGTGTCAACCTGTAAGAACGGCAACTACAACAGCAGTGGAATTGTAGAAAGAAGGCAGGCGTTCTGAGATGAGTTGACATCCATTCCATCCATCCAAAATCGAGGTGAGGAGAAGCAGAGCTGGAGAAAATTGCCAAATTGGCACGTACACTGTGTAGCAGCAGTAGAGCTGAATGAGGGCATGTCTGGTTCTAAATAAGTCACCTACTTATAAGTTAAGGGCCTGTTTGGTTTCCATAAGTCAGGTGACTTATTAAGTTAGGTGACTGAAAACCAGTGACTTATAAGTCATGCTTGTTTGATTGTAGATGACTTATAAGCTCATTAAAGGTGTGGGTCCCACGCGAAAAGGGTGACTTATCAGTTTTAAGCAGGGGTGAACCAACTCAAAACTTATAAGCAGGGGTGACTTATAAGTTGGTGGTGTTTGACAAAATAAGTCACATTTTTCACTTTTTAACTTATAAGTAGATGACTTATTTGGAACCAAACAGGCCTTAAAAAGTGAAATAAGTGACTTATTTTACCAAACACCACCAACTTATAAGTCACCCCTGCTTATAAGAAATAAGTTGGTTCACTCATGCTTAAAACTTATAAGCCACCCTTTTTCACGTGGGGCCCACACATTTTAAGTCATCTACAACCAAATAGACGTGACTTATAAGTCACCGGTTTTCAGTCACCTGACTTAATAAATCACCTGACTTATAGAAACCAAACAGGGCCTGAATGAACATGCATGGAAAAGGAGATGGAGCTAGAAGTAACCTGCCCTACTGTGGTTGCTATGCTACACTAGCATGAATGCACATAGTACCTGCAGCCTTGCAGGCTGCAGCAGGCCAGGCCAGGGATGAGAGATGCCGTTGCTTGCATGGCATCCAGGGATGACATGCCGTTGCTTGCATGCCAACGCCCAACGGACACGGCTGGACGTTGTTGGTTGGCCGTGACTCGTGACTGACAGTCAGGATGGATCAGAAGGAGGAGGCTTCCATTCTGCCCCCGCCGCCCACGGGCGCCTTGATGACCTGCAGGATCTGGACCACCTCCGCCATGGAGGGCCGGTTGGACGGGATCTGCGACGTGCACACCATGCCCAGCTTCAGCACCGGCAGCACCTCCTCCTCGGGGACGTGCCCGCCCATGCCCGGGTCCACGCACTCCAGCGCGTTGCCGTGCTCCAGCAGGACGCGCACCTGGTCCATTAGCACCACCACGTCGTCGTCGCCGTACTCCACGGCGCGCCGCCCCGTCACCAGCTCCAGGATCAGCACGCCCAGCCCGTAGATGTCGCACTTCTCGTTCACACGCAGGCTCTGGCACGCCAGCTCCGGCGCCACGTACCCCATCCCGCCGCCCACATGGAACCGGCTACCGACGCCGTCCGCCAGCTTCCCCGGCAGCAGCCGCGCCAGCCCGAAGTCGCCCACCGCCGGGTTGCACTCATCGTCCAGCAGGAAGATGTTGCTCGGCTTCACGTTGTAGTGGACCAGCGGCGGCCGGAACGCCTGGTGCAGGTGCGCCAGCGCCCGGGCCGTCCCGAAAACCACCCGGAACCGCTCCTCCCACGTCATCGGCGGCAACTCCTCACGGCCGTGAAGCCGCGCCTCCAGGCTGCCGTGCGCCGCGTAGTCCGTGATCAGCAGCTGCAGCTGCGGCGTCCAGTAGTAGCCCTTGAGCGGCAGCAGGTTCGGGTGCCGCGCCTTCCCCAGCACGCGCACCTCCCGCTCGAACTCCTCCCGCGACCGCACCGTGTTCGCCGCCACCAGCCTCTTCACCGCCACCACGCGGCCGTCGCCCACGGGAGCGCGGTACACCGTGCCGAACGCGCCACGCCCGATCTCCGTCGCCTTGCTCAGCAGCGCGTCGGCGCCGGCCACCAGGTCCTCCGACCGGAGGCTGCTCCCGGACCGAACGTCACCATCTTGCCGGCGGCGAGCTTGCCTGCTTGCCCTTTCCCCGGGCGGCGGCGACGACGACGACTTGGTCGTCGTGCTGGCGGTGACGATGCTCTCGTCCACCTCCTTCTTCTGGTCGTGGCCAAGGCCACCACCACCCGCCGCCTCGGCCCGCCGCCGGGCCGACACGTTCAGCAGCGTGATCACGATGACGCCGAGGACGATCGCGACCGCCGCGCAGATGGCCACCATGGCGGACACGCTCAGGAACCGCCGCTTCCTCGGCGCCCCCACGCCGCCGCCGTTCGTCTCCAGGTTGTTGTCGCCGCCGCCGGCCCCGCCGTGCGGGTACTCGTTGGGGTCCAGCACCAGCGGCTTGGGCACGTTCATCCTGCACGGCTCCGCCACCAGCGGGCTGCAGATGCCCAGGTTGCCCTCCAGCGCGCTCGCGTCCAGGCTCTGGAACACGCCCGACGCCGGCAGCCGCCCCACCAGGCGGTTGTGCGAGATGTTCACGGCCAGCAGGTTCTCCAGCCTGCCCAGCTGCGCCGGGATCTCGCCGCTCAGGTTGTTGTACTCCAGCCGTAGGATCTCCAGCTTCTTCAGCTCCGAGATGCCCGCCGGGATCGGCCCCGTCAAGCCGTTGCGCCCCAAGCTCCTGCAGTTCATGCATAAACCACCATGGTCAAACGGACGCGACGTGACGTGTCGTGAACTCGTGATCGTGACACATGCAACGCAACACATCTACACAAGTAGCAACACTTACAGGAGGTACAGGGAAGAACAGTTTCCGATGCTGTCGGGGATGGGGCCGGAGAGGAGTTGCCGTCGAGCTGGAGCACGGCGAGGCTACCGGACTCGCAGAGGTCGGCGGGCATGGCGCCGCCGTACAGCCCCGTGCTACGCAGGTCGAGCACCGTCAGGTTGCGGAGCAGGCCGAGCTCCGGCGGCAGCGGCGCGCGGAGGTCGTTGCGGGACAGGTTGAGGTATCGGAGCTTGAAGAAGAGCGACATCTCCGTGGGGATGCCACCGGTGAGCTTGTTGCCGGAGAGGTCAAGCCACTGCAGCGTCTCCGCCAGCCTTGTCGAGCCGGACGGCAGGACGCCCGAGAGCGCGTTGGACGACACGTCGAGCGTCTCGAGCCCGACGTCGAACAGAGCGTCCGGGATGCTGCCGCTGAGGCTGTTTCCCCTCAGGTGCAGCTCGGCGAGCTTGGTGCACCCGGACATGGAGGCCGGGACGATCCCGGAGAGCTGGTTCCTGGACAGTCTCAGGTACTTGAGCGCCTTGAGGTCGCCGAGCGAGTCCGGCAAGCTTCCGGTGAGCGCGTTGTCGGATAAGTCCAGGTGCTGCACCGCGGCCAGCTTGCCGAGCCAAGCGGGGACGTCGGGACGGTGCCGAAGATCAATGGTGCTGAGGTGCGGGCACAGGCCGATGTCCGCCGGGATGGCGCCGAACCGGTTGCCGCTAAGGCTGAGGGTCTTGAGGTTGTGGAGCCTGGCAATGCCATCGGTGACGGGGCCCGAGAACTGGTTGTGTGACAGGTCGAGCGTGCGCAAGCGCTCAAGCGGCCAGAGCGCGCCGGCGAAGTCGGGCGAGCCGGAGAGATGGTTGCCGGACACGTTGAGGTGGAGCAGGAGCGGGCTCTTGGCCGCCAGCCCCTCCAGCACGGGGCCGGAGAACTGGTTGCCGGATAGGACCAGGAACCGGAGCGTGGGCGGGAAGGCCGGCGGGAGCGGGCCGGAGAAGGCGTTGCCGGTGAGGTCGAGGTAGCGGAGGGAGGCGAGGCGCGCGACGTCGTCGGGGAGCGCGCCGGAGAAGGCGTTGTAGGAGAGTCGAGCGAGCGGAGGGAGGCGAGGAGGGAGAGCCCCTGCGGGAGCGCGCCGGAGAGGTTGTTGCGGGCGAGGGAGAGGTCCTGGAGCGCCGGCAGGCGGTCGAGGCCCCGCGGCATGCTGCCGGACAGCGCGAGCCCGTCGAGCGCGAGGCGGAGCACGCGCGAGGTGGCCGGGTCGCACTCCACGCGCGCCCACCCGCAGGGCGTCGCGTCCGACTCCGTCCACGTGGCCAGCGCGCCGGTCGGGTCGGACAGCGCCGACTTGAACACCACCAGCCCTAGCACCTCCTCGTTCACCGTCATCGGCATGTCGGCCTTCGTCGCTGGTGGCGCGCCGCCAATGAGCAGCAGGAGGAGGAAGAGGAGAGCAGGCGGGGAGGTGGCAGTAGTAGTGGCCATTTCTGCAGGCTGCAGCTGCGGGTGCAGAATGTTTCTGGGACGGGATAGATATGGTGGCGGTGACGATGACGGTGGCTGGCAGTAGATGAGATCTAGTGGCGAGGAGGAGGAGGGGGTAGTGTAGTGGTACCGGCGCCGAGCTGTGTTTTGGGGGTGTGCATGGTGGAGGCATCCATCGGAGGCGGGGAGAGGAGGAAGGGCGCGTCGTTGGATTGGGTTGCCCGTGACTCGCGAGCGGGGGGTAGGTTTGGACAGAAGGAAAGCAACAAAGGACTTCACGTTCTCCGGTCCCGGCCCGGTCCTCGGGTTGGCCATGGCCATGCCACCCCGCCCCCGAGCTCTGTGACGCTGGGCGGTGGGGTCGCCGGAGGAATCCATCTCGCCGGAACACGACACCGCACGGCGATTGAGGCGACGACGCGCGCGCGCACAAGCTCGCTACTGGACTACATACACTCTGCAGCTGTGGAAAGGGATTGGTTAAAGAATCATCCGCCGGCCGTTACTAATTTCTATACTCGGCCTTTAATTCGGGCAAAAGCAGCCGCAGAATCACGTCGAAAGCTACTCAACTTTTGTTAATCCTGATCACGGATTCAAAACGTGTGACCGATCGCCCTCGCCCCTCAACTCCAAGTGGGCAGCAGGCACCCATCTGGCCGTCACAGGAGCAGGAGCAGCAGCAGAGCATGCCCACTCCATGACTCCATTCATCAGTTCAGTTATCAGCATGGAAGCTGAAAAAGGGACGGAGGCTTCCCCATCAATCGTCACAAGTGCCCAGATCGCATGACTGCAAGCTGTAACAGAAGCTGCCATCTCATCGTGTATGGCTCGCGGATTATTTCATTCAGATCTGGGGAGCACCACATGTATACATGCATACTTTGGTGGTGTATGTTCAGTCGTTGCCATCCATATCTTCTGCCACGTGTGCTATAATCGAGCACTGAAGCACAGAAATGCATGGCCATGGCTATATATTTGGACTACACTATACCTCATATCTAAACGCACGCAACTTTGCATACATTTATAAGTAAGTAATGGAACGGTAAAGGTGAGCACCCTCGAGTAGGTACAGTTATTCCTCTTGATGTTAGCTGCACTTTGAGGATTCCCAGCTTGAATTCTGGCACTGGACTGATATATAACTGAAAAACTGTTGAATCAATCACGCGGGCCATCAAATGACTGGGATTTCCTCAAGTTCCAGTGGAGGCCCTCATGGATGCTGCGGAGGAAATCGGTGGTCGAGTCCACAAGGCAGGCTGTGGGCACAGGCCAAGGGGAAATGCTGCAGATCAGGGCGTCACCGGGCGATAGCTGCTGTCGATCTTTGCCATCGAACGATGCCCAGGCATTCCCCCTGCTGTTGTACGGCACTTGAACGCGGAGAGTCACGTATTCAGGCAGAATCAAAGGTCTGAATGACAAGGAATGCGGACAGATTGGGGTGAAAAGGATCCCTGGGACCTGCAAAGTCCAGCTAGACATTAGAAACCACGGCGAAATGGCAGGATGGACAAGTAATGCTGAGCCCCCACTGGAAGAAGATTTGTGTAACAATCCAAACACGAAGACTGAAATTGGCCAATTAACGCCATATAAATCAATTGGGGCCATACCTGAGGATGAACCATGGACCCTCCAGCTGCTAATGAATATGCTGTACTTCCAGATGTGGTTGATATGATTAGTCCATCTCCTTGTACACAAGTAACAAAAGAACTGTCACAGTACACTTCCAGGTTGGTAAGGTAAGATGATATTCCTCGGTCAATTGTAACTTCGTTTAACACTAAGAATGGCTCCTCAGTCACGATTTCATCCTTTGCCGCGTCACGTATTACATGACACTGTATTCGGTTTCTCAGCGTGATGCTAAATGGCCCGTTCAGCACATTGTCCAACAACTCACGGTATTGCTCGCTTGCTGAAAAAAAAATGTTAAGGACAACACAATAGATAAAAACAGGACTGTCAATTGATAGAAGAAAGCTTCACATGCAATTTATTGTCCAACAGAAATAGGTTTTCCGAGATCCAGTAAAATCCAGCTGTTCTAGGTTATTATTGCATAGAGCGTGTTAGCACTGGTGGTAAAGGATACGGAAAGGCGTCATAAAAAGCCCAGTGATCCCAGGGCAAATGCAACAACTGGAGGAACTGGTCCTTTGAACAACGATGCAGCCTGTTAAGAGGGATCCAGAAAAATTCTAGTTTCAGTTGGAGAGCAGTTGAGTAAAATAAAACTAAGTGAAAGTACAAGTCCAAATAAACATACGAGAATATTATCAGAATAAGCATAGACACTCAAGCTGTCCAGCAGTTGGCAGGCAGGCAACATGCAAAATACTAACATTAAATAAAACATCTAAAATATGGAACAGGTAAGCTACTAAGGTGGTTCCCACAGTGAATTGTATTAGTACTCTTCACTTTATTATTGAAAATTCACCTGAATAATAACTGCCATCTTCCATAGAAAAGCAAGACTACCATAAATTTGGCTTGGACAGCACATTGTCATGACCATTCCTGGAGGGATCTACAGACCTTCGATTTCGGATGTTATGTTACCACGTAAACTATATGCATTGTCCAAAAATGGGAGTTTCTGTGAAATAGTTTATCGTCCAAATGTTCGGATCAGATCAAAGTTTAGCTGGTTGAGGCAAAGCCAGTCAACTGACTCCAAGGTCCATGTGATCCTCCTAAGGCTCCGCATATTCAAAAAATCATCACAGGAGTAATAATTTGTTTTTGAATCTTAAAAAGTATGTAGGATGAAGCTCCACACTGACATGACAAGGGAACAAACAGGAACCTCAGAAACTGAAGGTATCACTATATCAAAATAGATTAAAAAAAGAAGCTTCAAAGTCCAGATAACATTTTGCAAGGGTGCATCACAATTGAAATATAAAAGAAAATGGATGCGTACCCACAGAACAGTTCCATCACCGCCAAGAGTTACAATTAGATCAACCTTCGTATGCAGCATCTTTATCTCCTCATCTATAAGAGTTGGCCAGAACACGGGAAGTGATATGTCAATAGAATGATTGTAGGAACAATCTAGATAGATCTAAAACATGACAATACAAATGTAGAAGATGAAGAATGTTGATGAATAAAAAACTACAGTGGAAAAGTATGTTTTTATGCTAAATGTATTAAGTTTTTTTGAAAACATTAAATGTAGTACTACTAAGGTTTACAACTGTAAGACAGCTGCTGCTGCTGCACATGCACGACTCAAACAAGTTCTGCATCATTCATAGTGATACAAACACAGCTTAATACTGTGCTCAGTGACCAACCCAGGTTCATTTCCTCCATATTTCATAAATATGTTGGAGGGGGCAATCTCTCCCTTCCAATCTGTCTTTTTTTTTACCGTGCACAGTTTAGGCCAAAGAATGTGTTACTAAAAAGACAGCATTGTGGTCTGACCAGTAAGGTTGGATTTGAGAACATCAGCATCCATAAACTCTCCACAATAGTAATATGCATTGCAAATTACATGGGTAAATTGGATAACAGAACATCAACATACAAATAGCAAGACGAGGCAGAAACTTCATATAACCTGAGCAGCGCTAGAGTCTTTCAAAAGCATGTATAAGCTATCCATAAACACTCTCCAAATTACTATACCTTATTAATTAATTTATTCAATTCCCATCACAAAAAGGAAAAATATCTTCTTGAGTAATCTATGTCCTGAACTGCTAATCTGGAGCACATGGAAGAAGCGCATCACATAAGTTAAACCTCTTACCATCATCCCATGTTTGGACGAAGTTGTAGTAGGAATCCCCTGTTAGAAGTTCCTTTTTAACACGTGGTTCAACAAAGATGTTTGTATTTTTATGCTCCCTAAGCCATCTGCGGAAAAATAATTCAAAACCTTTCAATGGCGTGAGCACAATATACAGGCTACCTGTGCAGTAGCATATAACCCATGTAAGTTGTGATTCATCAGGAACAAAAACATATCAAGGGTGTTGATTTCTAAAAATATTGAATTATGTCATTTAAGACAATTTGGTTTTCATATGGTACAGTGTGACAGAATTTGTAACTCAGAATTATGGAAAAATTACTAAGTATATTAATGGATAAGTAGTGGTGATGCAAAGTAGGGAAGAGAACACACCTGACCATTTCAGCACAAAGAACACGCACAGAGTTGGAATTCGGTTTGGTAATGAAAAGCACTGTTTGTGGTGGTGATTCCCATTTCAGTAAGATCTGAAAGCGAAGTATTTGTCATCATTGGAAGAGAGAGGAGCAAAAGTGTGACAATTGTTTGGTAAAAATTTCTAGAACTATCTGCCATTCCAAAATGAATTGAACAGGACAAATGGACCAACCTGCTTATTGCTCCTTTCTGCGGTTGTTATATCACCTTTTTCAAAGGACACAAAATCATGCTTATGCTGACCATTTTTATCCCCATTACATCCCCATGAAAGTTTAAATGATGCCTTTCTCCCCACCACCTTGTGATTAGATCTTGGGATAGCTCCAGGAACTTCGTCCTGCAGAACCTCGTGTGCACATATACCATGCTTACCGCAACATCCTAATTGATCAGGTGCAGGTGTCTCCAGAGTCAGTTGGCTGGCCAGTTTGTCCAAGTCATTACTGATACAACTGTTGTAGCCTGCACAAGATAGAACTCGAGTTGCTCAAGAGAAACAAATAGTATATATGCAAAGCACAATATTATAGTATTCCACAATGTAATACGTGTGTCTAATTTTGGGATCCATCCGATGATGCTATGATAACCCCCACACCCTCAAGTCACAATTGAACATTGCAGGGGCCAGAGTCTAAAATTTGCTAAACCAACCATACCCCTTGCCGGATGGGCCTACGCATGTGTAGCAACCTGCTTGGAATTTTGTGGTTGCTTCACCAACTAAACCATCAAATGGAAAACATAGATAGCAATTTGAAGCAATAGCTCTTTCATTCCTATCTTAATTGAAAGGCAGAGCTCCTGCCCAAGTTTTCAAACAAAAAACTTGAAGCAATAGTTAATGGATCGCTCAAGTTATGAGATTGTTTCACTAGAAGTAAAATCATCAATAGCAAATGCACAAATCTCACCTTTGATTTTACTCTGCTGCTTGTGCGCTGTCTCTAGTTCATACTTACGTTTCCACTCTGCTGCCTCTGCTTGAGCAGCAGCCTTCCCTTCAGCCACTCGTCGTAAGGCTTTTGCAACAGCTTCAAATTCACAGAAATTTATACCAATTATTATTTTAATAGTAAATGGAAGGTTCTACATATGTTTGTACTTTTGTAGTACATTTTAGGCTTCAGTCAAAGTAGAAATTATGTCTATCCTTACTTCTCATAGCTTCTGAAAACTCAACAAGGTGTGCATCAGTTGACCTGACAGGAGTTTGAGCAAGAAATTCATATGCTGCCTTCTCTGATTCTAGTGAAACAGCAGAACTAGCTGTAGAGATGGATCCATTTTCACTTTGATGTGAGGCCACGATATCTACATTTACTCTCTCATCAGAAACCTAAAATACAAGCAGGTGTGTCAGTGTGAATGTAAAACAATGGGACATCTGACGACTGTTTAAAAAAATAAACTCAACTGCCTCCAGAAATAAATGTATCCAGTCGTATAAGATTGCAATGACATATTTAGCTTAGTTTCAATTCACATATAAGGCGTTGAGAGGTTTTCAGATAAATTCAGATTTAGACTCACCAAACTTTTGAACTCCATAACCAATACCCAATAAAATGCTGATCTATTTATTTAACTCAGAGCTTAAATAGGCTCAAACTGCAAAATGATGCAATGTTAAACTTGGAATATGTTAGCCTCGTATTTTCATGTGCATGACTCGGATTTGCAATCAGTGTGACTTTCTAGCTGAAATCGAATCACAAATTCAAGTTTCACATACTATGCAAATGCCTGTACTAAATACGTTTTTAAACAAATACACTAAAAACAACGGAATCAATCTTTTCCCCACAAAATGGGGAAAGGAGGTGGTCAAGCCCATTGGCATTTCTGGTCCAGGAACTCCCCAACCTTGCAAGATAAGCTAGTTACTTAAAACACTTGTACGACAAAAACAGACGTAAAACTCAAGGACACTCCAGCTAGTTAATTGGCCCGCCCTTACTACGCAATCGCACGACGAAGAACAGAGCTACGAGCGAGACGAACTCAAAGCGGGCACACATTCCTTTGGGCCATCTATACATGTCTGCACGTACCGAGTCGAGCAATGATCTGATGCTCGGAGGAGCTGGGATCGGAATCGGCGCAGGGCTCAGGCCCCGGAACTTGGAATCGGACGGCGCGAGCTGAACTTCCTCGGAGGACGACGGCTCCTGCCACACGGAAACCACGCATTCATCAGAACCAGCTAGACCAAACACTCCGTCGAAGCAAATTGGGCGGAAATCGGACGCCCAGCCGCCCGAACCGCCACCAGGAATCGCCCCAGCGCAGCTAGCGCGGACGGACCGGGAGGAGCCGGCGTACCTTGTCGGCGAGCTCGTCGAGCGACATGGCGCCGCGATCCGGTCCGCTTCGCGTCCTCGCCGTCGCAGAAAACACACCCCGTACTACTTGTTCTGCTCTTGGCTCCCGGTCCCGAGGCTTGGGTGGGCAGTGTACTTGGCCTCCGATTCGCGAGGTGGAGAGAGAAAGAGAAGAAGAGGTGGGTGGTGGACCGGTGGCCGGTGGGTGTGGTGCGAGGCGACGACGCCGAAGCCGGTGACTCGGTGAGGAGCGCCACCTCTCCCCGCCCGGCGCGGCTATTTATCGGCTTCTGGTTTGACGCCGACGGGCGCTTGCCGGTGGGGCCCAGCTGCAGTAGGGCGTTCGGCTTCCGGCTGACGCGTGCTGGGAAGGGTTGCTGCCGGGTCCACCACGCTTCTCATTTCTTTTTCCTGATTTGGGAATTATTAAATTAATCGAATTATACCCCCAACTTTTGGGGAGACAATGGGAGTATCCGTTGAAAGAAACTTTACACGGTGCATGTGCACCTGTGTGTACTCGTGCGAAGTAGATCTTTAGCCTAATTTCAAGCAATTTCTTTTGAATTCCTTTTTTATAAGAATATACCATGTATGAAGTATGAATAAAACTGCTTGACCTCTGAAGAAAGTGGGAACAAGTTCAACACGAAATCCCCCCCCCCCCAAAAAAAACGTATGTATTGGAAGAAGCTTGACATATCTTGATGCTTAGAGCAGTTCTATAGCGTGCGACGAATTGAAAACCGAATTGATTGATAGAGCATGAGAACCATGGTGTTAGAATCTAAAATCAGATTCCCAATATGGTTCGAATGCTATGGAACAAAATATTACAGGGGCTATGCACACTAGCCGATGGTGGAAGGATCAAGTGGTATGGTAGCCAACAAGTGTAAACTAACGTGATACCGCCGAACTATGCAACAGTAAATCATTCTCTTTTCCTTTGGCTCGGATGCATAGGAATATATGATGTATCTTATTCCTATTTAATTTTAAATAGTGTTGGATAAAATGTAGTATAAAGTTTAGTTTTCTTAAAAAACATATATGCCTAATCTCAAATCAAACGTTTTTTTTTCCAATTTCTATTTATATGAACCTACCATGCATGAAGTATGAACAAACTGCCTGACCTATAAAAAAAGGGACAAGTGGGAACACATTGACACGAAATTTCCCTCAAAACGTATGCATTGGAAGAAGCTCGAGATACCGTGGTACTTAGTAGCTCTAGTGTGTGGTGAAAAAATATCAAACCGTAGCCACCTAGAGTCGAACCATGCATATTGGACCATGGTGTCATAATCCAAAATTGGATTCCAAATATGGTTTGAATGCTATGTAACAAAATATCAGAAGGGCTATGCACACTAGTTCATTGTGGGAGCATCAAGCAGTTCGATAGCCAGTGAGTGTAAACTAAAGTGATTTTGATTTTTTTTTAATTCAGTGTAAGGTCCAAAAAATCGATGCTTATACTGTGACCACCAAACTTGTACGACAGTAAATCAATCTCTTTTCCCTTGGTTCCGATGTGATATTGAAGCCTTGAAGGTGCCCTAGAACATAAGGTGGATCTTATTTCTGCTTGTTTTTTAAATAGTGTTGAATAAACGTGGTACATAGTTTGGTTTTCTTGTAAAAACATCTATCCATAGCAATTTTAGACGAGGAGAACATCAACTAGAAGACAAGTTGTTGGGGGAAATCTTATACCAAACGACGTCTTCTTTACCTCGTACTTCAATCCATGGGATTAATACCATACGTGCAATTATATCTTGTCTGGAATGATAGGTACGCCACCCCAAGTCCATAGAATTGCCACATTTCAAACATGACAAAGCAATCTCTTAGACTTCAGTTGTGAAGCTTTCTTTTTTGGCTAAGATTTGTTAAGCTTATAAGCTGAGTTAACTTGAACAAGTTCACGGATGCCAGAGACAAACAGCCAGGACTTTTATCTCTTGATGAGATGAGATGATTACTTGCATGCAAGACTTGTTGGATTGACAATTCTAGTCTTTTGCTACCTACATTGCGGCTAAACGCAATATTCCTACCCCCAGTGACGTGTACTACTCCCCACCACATGTAAATAAAAAGAAAAGACGCTTGGTTTCACCAGGCACCACTGAAAAACCCCTGTGCCCTTTTTCGGCCAATGAAATGAAACAGTCAAAGCAAAAGGCAAAAGGGAAAAGGCACGTTGAAAGGTACGGTCTTGGTCATCGGCTACCTCTAGCTCGGTTGTGGTTGGTGGATGAATGGTGACGGTGGTGAGAACAAAATCTCTTTGCCGATTGCAATGAGACTTTCAGTTGGGATTCTTCCTCTGTTCTCGACACAAACACGACACACGGCTTTGGCTTTTCAGCCATATTCACTTTGAGCATCACTCCAATAGGCAAAAGCGTGTGTCCACTCTGCATTTTTGGAAGCACAGGGACCTGCTGCTCTCCTCTGCTTGCGTTGCGGCTGCTAGCTGTATCTGCTTCTTATTCTTGCCATGCCAGCCATGGTCGTTAGCTCGTCATCAGCCAATACCTAGTATGTCTCTCTTCGGAATGCATCGTCATATTCCGAGGAAACTTTGGAACGAATCACAGTACCACTACCACAGACCACACCGCCAGAAACGGGACGGAGAACAGGAGGTGGCGCGGGTCGTGCAGGCACGGCTCTGACTTTTTCTCGGCCACCTCACCATCGGGCAGCGGCGGCCGTCCGACTCCTTTCTCGGCAGCGAGCGCGGAAACGCGTCAGAGCGCACGTCAGCTACCGCACTACGTCCGGTCCCGGTCCGCCGATGGAGAGCGTCAAAGTCAGCGGCAGCGGGCAGCAGGAGCAGCATGCGGGGGGATCGGAGTGGGAGAAGCTGGCGCATGGCGCTGCTGGCCGACGCCGTCCACCGGTCCACGCGGCCATCATTGCGCCGCGCGCACTGGTGACCGGAGTACCGGACACCCGAGGCGCGCGATCCGACGACACGAGTAGAGGGGACACGAACACAGATCTCGCGGACGCGGCGACGGCTGACTCGTTAAAATTTGCAAACCTACTTTTTATCGAAGGAATAGTATTTTTCTCTCACACCAAATCAGTATAAGCATCAACGTAAGCTAAATTTTAGCGAAACGAGCACATGGACATGCATGACGGGGAGCGAGCACATGGACATGCATGACGGGGAGCGAGATCGTACTAGTGGAGTAGTGTGGTTATGGTCTACTACTATGTAAAATGTTGGGTATGAGAGATAGAACCACGGAGCAACGTAACTAACAGATCAACGGGAACGGGCCCAGCGTTGCCATCAGGCGCGAGCTGTATCTAAAACGTTTGTGCTCGCACATCATCTCCTCCGAATAAAAGTCCAAGCCAACCAAGTGACGTGAGTGAGCTATCTAAAACGTCATCCGTACCGATAGTGACACGGACCGTTGGTGACAACTGATGACAAATCGTGCCTCGCAGGTAGTGGCCCTGTTCGCTCGTCTCATGAACTATACTATTTTAAAAAGAACAGTATTTTTTCATAATAAATCAGTAAATAGTATTTTCAGCCATGGTTTTTCAACAAAACGAACAGAGTCGGTGTCTGCGCGGCTGATTGAGCCAAGATTTATAAGCATCTATATACTCTCTTCGATCCAAATCCTACTCCGTAAAAATAGTTCGGGTCAGAAAAGTACAAAATAATTCATATAGCTCTAATAAATTAAAGATATTTATTCAAGCCTGGTAAGGTATTCATAAGCAAGCGAAAACACACATGACATTAGTTTCAACAAAATTATGATTTAGTTGGCGGTTGCTAATGGAAGTACTGTACAAGCGTAAATTCGAGAATTTGTACACAGATCATGTTTTTGTGCTTCTCTGTTCCGACAGGCATAATAGAAAGCTCAACAATTAATACATCTCATTTTTTCTAAACATTTCAAGTAAGGAAGAATTTAAGTTTGAGAATCATTCTGAGCTTGTTAAATCAATATGATCAAAACTGAGAAAGCTTAACCATCTTGCATTCTCCTCGTCTGCTCAGTCACATCAAACATCAAGTCGTCCAACAATCACGGGATGAGACAGATCTAGGGCTAGGTATTTAGTGTTCTTTTTTTTTTGCGTGTGAGTTGGGGGGAGGGATGTTGTGGGCGTGTATGGTGTAATTAAAAAAAAACAGAGTGTCTTACCTGCAAAAGTAAGAAACTTGGGTATTTCACCTCCGCTTTGTACCCTTGGTCAGTGTACGTCAGCTTTACGTACCATCAACGAGTAATCATACAAAATCAAACAAAGTGACTTAGAGGAGTAGCACATGGGACACCATAATTTATACTGGTTCATGTGAAATGCCCTGAGCACTCGGTTAGAAAGTCTGCATTGCTTGTGCACTGAGCACTCGGTTAGACGTCGACTAGGGGGATGTGATGCAAGTGTGAGAGTGGAAGTTGTATGCATAGTGTGTTGCAATGGCTCCACGCGAGTGCTCCCCACCCTGCCTTACAAAGCCTAGGGTGAGGTTACATGCAGTCAGTTTGATGATGGTCAACAATACTATTTTGCTCTACAGTGCACAATCATACCCAACTAGCTATTGTATCTATAATTCTTGTGTCATATTCTATACCAACTCTGCAATGCAATCAACTATTCCACCAATTCTATTTGTCATACTATCTCCAAAAAGTTTAGCCTGCCCCGGTCACTTTGCAAGCACAGGACTACTACGACATGTGTCTTCTCTTACGTCTGTTCAGAATGCATCATTTTCTTGGGGAACTTTGGAATGAATGCATGCATCACGCACTAGAACGAATATTCGTAACTGTCTTGTTCCATTATATTTATGGATACATCTTTAAGCTTTTGGTCCATACCATTTTTAGTCCAAAGATAATGTGCTACTAGACTCACAAGCCACTAAACTCTGAAACATGAGTAAAATTCATACTACATTGATATAGGTTTTACATGCATGTGTAGCTAAAAAAAAGAATTCCGACCCAAGAGTCAGGG